AATTTGCTTGAATTTGGTAATTAGCTGCTTCTTTAAGGATCTCCTGCGTTCTTCTCGCATGGGACGTCCGATGACATCTTGCATAAACCCCCTAACCCCTAAACCCTCAACCATCTCAGAACTCTGCGTATCTCCTCTGCACGCCGAAACCCTGAGGAGCCGCTTGGATTCCGACCCAGTTTCTCGGGAGGCGAAGACTCCAATGATGCCACAGCAAGACCTTAGCACAGGAAGCTGAGGTTAAAGACGCCCCTCATGCACAATTCTAAGGGGTTGGGGATTCAGAAGCTTGGAATTACCGGGTTAGGGCTGTAGGAACTTGATGTCAGAGGTTCGTCACATGGATCCTACTGGACTATTTGCGCGGTGTAAAACCAGGGCCGTCATGTCTGGTTTCAGCATTATACGGTCCGATGAAGTACCAGGGGCCTCAAAAAGGGATGCCTCCCAGACTGTGACCGTTTGAAGTTGCATGTTGGGGTACCTTGTAGACGAGTCTCGCTTTAAGAAAATCATGCTTGATTCATTCCATGTTGGCTTTCGGCCGAGAGCGCCCGGTCCTGGCATTTGCGGAATGAGGATTTCAGGATTTCGGGTACCCGGTTTAATGGCGCTTGAATTGCTAATGGGTCATCCACGGTGCATGGTAGCAGATGGTAGCTGCAGTGTCCGGCCAGTGTCGGGCTAGATAAGAGATAGGTAGGGCCGGTTATATCCTGCACCGGCACATCTCCAAGCCCCAGACAAATGTCATCAGCACAAAAGCAGCTACCTGCAACTCACGTGACTGCGGCTGCTTCTGCATGCTTTTGTAGCCGATCATGTGGAATGTAAAACCTCATCAGCAACACCCCGTACAGCATGACAGGACAAAGTGTTCGGCTACTTGGTGGTTCGTGGTTGCTACTCAGCCATCATGAAATGAAAGAGTGGCCCCTCCTGCGTCAACATGCAAATCCAACTGCTTGCAATGAGACCGACAGGCAACCAAAGGAGCCCGAAACCTGATAGCCGTAAACACAAGGAAGACCCGCCTCTGGCGCCAGCCACATCCCTCTCCCCTGGCAATGCTGCAGGACAGGCACAGAGACGACGAGCGCAAACTTGCTTGCAACCATTCGGCGATGGAGATTTGTCTAGACGCAATGTGCTTGCAGTCTGCAAGCTCCGTCTCTCTCTCTCTCTCTCTCTCTCTCTCTCGCTCGCTCACATAACTATATTTTGTAGTGATTAATGATGTATGTAATCTCTGTTCAACTATCATTGCTGAATACAGCACGAATTTCCTCTTTTCGGCTCCATATCGCCGAGTATTTAAGAATCGGCCCAAGTTCTAAACGATGTTACGAAGATCCAAGATTGCTGCCAGGGCAATCTTGAATGCACAGGCCTGGCCAGTACGTACCTGGTTGACTCGTGCATCCGAATTTCCATGGGAAGACCTTCTAGCAATTTTGGAACCTTGCAATGGGATCTTGGGTACTCGGTACATAGGTAGTAGGCAGGCAGGCATATGTGGGTTAGTTCCCTAAATTAGGGTCCTTTTTAGGTCCCCAATATAGTACGGCACCCTTATAAAAAAGGATCCTAAAAGGGACCCTAACTTAGAGAACTACCCATGTATGCTTGCGTGTTTGCACAAGGTCGGATCGCCTCGGCACAGGCCAGGGCCACAGCAGCCAGGACGCCAAGAAGCCCCATCACCACCTTAGCCGACAGCTCTGAAGCTTTGATTCGAGGCTCTGGCCTCTCATAGGGCTTCGGGTTTAAGGGCTTCTGGGCTGTAAGGCTTACTTGACGGGGCCTTTCGGCTCTAGGGAAGTCAAGCCTTCGGCTCTTGGCAGAGCAGGATCCTGAGACCTGTGATGCTCCCTGCGGACTGCAGTCCGTATGAAGATGCTTTCAGAGCCTGCCCATGACAATATACCCAATTAAACAACAAGACGTGGTCCAACTAACAGAGAACCTGCTGACGGATTCGCGTCAACAGCAACTCAGGCTACCTCTTGTGATAGGGACAGAACCATTTGGGAATCCATTGGCGGGTTGACGGGTTGCCTTGAATCTCACAGCGCTTGGGGAATAGTATTAATGATTAACTGCGTCCCCTATATTACATGCTTGTTGGCACATGGCAGTGAGCAATTATCCCACTTTGCACATCCTGGGGTGGATTGAAGTCAGCCCACTTTTGAAGTGCTCGGTTGCCGTGCGAGAAACTATGGAGTATGCTACAGTAGTGGCCTACCATTGATGACACTCGACCCTTCGTCTCCCACATCCAAACATGAGGATGCAAATGTACTTTCTCAAGTTTTAAGGCCAAAGTAGCAGAAGGAGCCCAGAAGTTCAGGGTCTGCTTTACAGGATGTCGAGAACATCAGACCGACTCTAAGACGGAACACCTGCTTTCCAGACCTGCGTTCTTTTCGATGCCGCCTTCCTGTACACCCACGAACTGATAGCCGTTCTGGGAGTCTAAACACTCAAGGAGAGTCCGGATGAAACCTCGATGGTATGCAGTACACTCAGGCGCAATGACTACACCTTGACGCCATCTACGCCATGGCGTCTCACACCTGCACTCGACACCTGGGAGACCGTGTTCAGCATTTGGGGCAGCAAACTCATTACGCTCGTCCCTTCAGCAGACTGTTGGTTTCGAGAAGCTGAGCAGGACAACTTCTGTGGGGAAAGCCTTCAGCATCAGTGTCGGACGAGACTCTAAATATTCAAATTTCCTTCTCAGGTTACCTTGGATCTAATTTCAGGAATCTCGCTCACGAGATGTTGGAGGATGTTCGGAAACCAAACCCTAAACCCTAAAGCCCTAAACAGACCCTAAACCCTACAAGCCCTATCAACCCTAAAGCCTTTGAGCCCTAACCCCATGACAGCGGCCTCGACAACCTCCTGGTCGCGACCCAGCTTCCGCTGATCTTCAGACCACGGATTCGGGCAACCTTGGCTTCGAGTCTCTGCCTTGCGACTATGAGGGCTTAGGGTTTAGGTCTCTGCCTTGCGACTATGAGGGCTAATCTACGGAGCCGCTAAAGGGAGCACCATAAGGTGTAATGGTAGGAACCAGAACAACACTAACAATAGGAATCATAGTAAGAAGAAGAAGAAGAACGGTAAGAACAATCGTAGATACTACAGGGCTAAGTATCAATTGAGTACATTTAGAGTCGAACGACTGTAACGTCTGCAAACATCCCCATCCCTGAAGTAGCCTTAACTGCAGTCTCCACAAAACGCTACTCTTTCAGATGTCACAGGCAAACTTGCGGACGACAAAGGCGAACAGCAAAGTCCGGAGGCACCCACGGCGAAACACCGGAAGCTTCGGACCTATTTCGGGCATCGGCCGATTGCCCTGGTGCTCATCGCCCCATCTGCATGCTTTGGATGCCACAGTACGATTCCCAAAGCCTTTCTAAAAAAGAAACTTCAACAAGCCGCCTTAGCCCAAAAGTCTACGCTCTCGCAACTCGGACTCTGCCAGGCGAGGCCACTCGCGGTTCGACGAAGGGCTTATGGGATTTCGGAGGATCCCTTAACTAAGAGCAAGAAAGTCCGCGGAAGACGTTCTGACATCCACTGCTGCTGACAATCTGCCGAAGTCTCCGTGGCGAGCTGCCTCACGACCTGCCCACAATGCAAGAGGCCATGCATGACTCCACGGGTTCCAGCCGAAATTGCGGCTTCTCGTCGTGTTCGTGATCGTGTTGGGGGAAAATACTAATGCTGGTAAAGTCTAGCCTCACAATGAAACAAGGACTGAGCATTGCCTCAAGTCGGTAAGGCCGTCTTCTGTGGCCGTTTAAGGCCCCTGAAAAATAGTCGTAAGTAAGATCCTCTTAAGCTCGACAAAACGGAAAAATACCAGATCCCAAGGCCTTCCTGGTATTTTCTGTGTGGCGCGAACGTGGGATAATGGGCTAGACGCTGATACGATTCCTATGATTTCCAGATCCAGAAAACTTTGGACAAATATTCGGCGGAGAATCAAAGCCTTCCCTGAAGCTTCTGCAATCCCAACTCCATACTATAGGGGCATTAAAAGTATACGTATGTATCGGACTTTTAACCGAATATCTCATTACGAACTTATCCGAACCCTAAACCCCAAACACTCCTCGCCACTGTCGCCCTCTGAGACTGCGGCGGATCAGGCTTGTCTCCCGGCAGCTGGCAGGGCGACCTGAAGGAAAGTCAGAAGCCCAGGCTCAGGGCATCGGGGCTTCGGGGCTTCGGGTTTAGGTTTAGGGTTTAGCGACTCTCACTCTCGCACAAGGCTGGCAAGGCTCCACACAAGGGCTTGGGGTTTCGACTCTAACTCTCGCACACGGCAGGCAAGGAAGGGTTTAGGGAAGAAGTGTGTTCAATCTATAGGGTTTTGTCCCTATCGCATTGCAGAGATCAAAGCTCACAGACAAAGCACTTCGTTCAGGGCTATAGGGTCTAGGATTCAAAATGAGCCCTTAACTCTAAACCACACATGTAGAATAGCAAGAAGAATGGATATCTCTTGCGCTGACACCTCGGCTCGACATCAGACCTCGCCTAGCCCAAACAGAGCTATGAAGCGAGTCCCAGACTGGCATCTGGTAGTTCAACGCAGAGCGCGTGGCGGAAGTCCAACTCTGCGCTGTGAGAATGGACCTTATTGTACATCGCGTCGCTGCTTCTGTTATTGACTGTACATCTGATGGTATATAAAAGGACTCAGCTATCTACGCAAACTGCCTCCCAAAGATCTACCTCGCTACTCGACCCTTTGCTGAGGTCCCTCGCCAGCCATAGAACTGCGGAGGCAAGGTGTGTCCTTCAAGGGTTTGCTGCTTCCGAGCGGCACCATTCACCAGTATCCATGGCGTGTAGCGGTTGCCTGTGGCCATCCTCAGATAATGATGCGATGCCAGAAGCTCAGGAAGACGCGGGGTGCTGTCTAGAATTGGCTCTACTTCCTTCGGAAATCAACCGAGATCAAGGCTACAGGGAAGGGTGCTGCTGAGGGCGGCGATTGAAAGAAGTACCCCAAAGAGCCCCTCCTGGCAAGGATCGAAACCCCTCAAACCTCCAAGCCCTACACGTATCAACCCTAAAAACGCCCTGGAGTCAAAACACTTCCACTCTGCTCTTACCCTTTTTGCGCCCAGGCCCATTGGGCCTGCCGGTGTTCCCTTGCACGGAAAACCCTGAGGATTTGTTTGCAACAGGCCTCGTTGTCCAGCAGCCCGGTCTAGCCAAACACACACTCCCTAACCTACAGCAAGGAGAGCATGCGACCTGACACCTCTGAGGAAACTGTTTGAAATGTAATTAAGCACCTTACTAAACTCACTGATGGACTTCGTTGTGAAAGGACATGAACTCCATGATTAAACCCTAAACCCCTCGCCGTTAGATCCGAATCCCAAAGCCTCAAGCCCTCGAGCCTTAACCAGTGCTCACACCGAGGCACGTAGCCTTTGCGGCTAAGGCGGTCTCCAAGCGGCCTTCCGTGCCTTAGGCCCAGGCAGCGCTACGATCATTCGAACGGTAAAGAGACTTGTGCGGGCGATCGCAGCACGTAATTTAGGGTTTACGCTCTCACACCTCGGACAAGCCAGGCGAGGTTCCATAGGATAACTTTGGGTTTAACGGGTTTCAGCACTCACTCTCGGACTTGCCTAGGCGAGGTTCCTGGTACGAGGCGAAAGCACATTAGGGTCTGGAGGGTTTCACGCCCCAAGCTTGGGGCTTTGGCCGCTCGGAGGCTAAGGCGGCTAAGGTTCGCTGTCTAGCTGAGGACAAGGCTCTTTTGCCAAACCCTACACAGAAGCTTGAGGTTGTTGTCCCAAGACAAACCAAAACCCTAAACCCTGTACCCTAAAAACTAAATCCTAAACCTTGAGTTTGTTCAGCACTGACCGAGGTACCTGGGCCCTAAACCCCAAACCCCACTTACTTCCCACGCATGCTAGGGCTAAGGGTTTGGATTGTCTGCCAGGCGGGGCTGGTGGGGCCTGGGAAGCACACATCCCCACCGATGCCATATGGGAGTTTCCGAAAATGAGGGGTACCTTATTTGGGGTCCTTATAATAAGGATCCTACTATTTAGGGTACTTATATTAGGGTCCCCTGTTTTTGGAAACCCCCATATGGGGCCCACAACAATGAGCGACTGAAGAATTTCCGAAGCTGCTCTGCACTGGAAACCCGGAGGCCGCCGAGGCCTCCCAAAACCAATCACCGCCCATCCTGACTAGGGTTTTTTTTGTTGAACAAAGGTTTAGGGTTTAGGGTTTAGGGTTCCCTGACCCACCGTTGCTTTCCTCACTCCCCAAAAGGCGGCCGGACGACCATAGAGGCAACGAAGAAGCGGCTCCTGGGTGAAACTCTCGCTTTTGTGGCTTCGCTCTTCTTTGCAGACAGCGCATGCCTCTGATAGTTCATGTACAGGATTCGATTAGAGCTAGCAACGAAAACGGTTTATGCCGGCGAAGAGCTCCTGAAGTCTGAAAGCATATGTAACGACCAGAACAACTCAAGAGGTCAGTAACAAGTAACAACTGGTTTTAACATGCATATCACGAGCTGTTCCAGCCAATCGGTTGAAAAGCATCGCCACGACATGCTTGCAGCAATCACGACGGGAACAGCAGTAGCCATGCCTATGCTTGGCAACGACGGCACTCTGAACAGTATTTGTAACGAATCGACAATCGTCTTATTACCAGTAAACGCTTGGCGACGGAATGGTGCCAGGGAAACTTGAAGCAAGTTTAAATTGGCCACGTGGCTATTGCTTCTCCCGGAGCAGAGCTTTCGCCACATGACTTCCTGTAGTCACATCGCGTTGTGCCAACGCACGATATTTCTTCCCATTCGGCTATAAACTGATGCAAGTAGTTGTACCTTCCGACGCTCTCCCTCACTGAAGCCTCTCTAGGTACCCCCTAAGCTGCCGGTCAAGCTGCATATCCGTTGCCATACCTGGCTGTTACTAAGTTACGCAGAAAGACGGAGAGTCGGCTGAGGTATGGACACTGCCCTCAGCATGTCGTCCTTGACCTGGCAGCCAGAAGCTCCCATGTTCTCAATGACAGCAATGATTGAACAACGAAGAAACTTGAAAGCCTCATGCTCTCCGCATAATGGTATGTGGTGTTATGGAGTGTGGCCAGCAGCTTCAGCGATGTGACGAAGATGACACAGTCTCACACATGAGTATAGATCACCGGTCTCTTCATCTAGCCTTCTGAACTGTAGGCAGCAGCCAAACAACGAACAGCTTCCGCAATGACCCACCTGCACCGCCTGGATGTTCTCGAACATACCTTGGAAATACTCTGTGGACATAGCTGACATAGCTTGCAGCTGCTCAATACATCCCATCCCGGCTTTCGGGATTGTCTATTCTAGGAGAATAAGCTAGCACGGCATTGCGAGGTTCCCACAGCCTTGCTCCAAAAGACGGACTTCAAACTCACTAAAGTCACTAAAGCTGGAACTGCGAGCTTTAAGCTGGACTCCCTGTTTGGTTTACAGTCCCGAGTACGGCTTCCGAACGCTCTCGACCTTCTCAGAAACTGTGTGCGGCCCAGAAGCAGAACGCAAACTGAGCTGACGAGTTTGGGGCGAAATGCTTTATAGCCTCGGGTATTACCATGCGACAGGCACAGAAAAGCTGCAATCGCATCGCACATGACTCGGCAGCTGGGCGCCTACAGCAGGACAACGACGAAACATACACGTTCGCCCGTCCGGCCAGATGCGATGGAACGTCACCAAAAGGCCACGCAAGGTCAGGGCCAATCCTTGCAGAGACCTCTGCTATCCTACGCATATAGACAGGAAACCCGTGTCCTGTTCCTCTACCTTATGGAGCTGCTTTAGGATGAGGGGCTCGAAAAGCCTAGGCTTAGGAGACAGCACGAGAGCATCGGAGCAGATAGTTTATACGTTTCAAACTACTGATTGCATCTTATGAGTTGTGTATGTATGTATGCATGCATGTATGCATGTATGTAGGTATGTATGTTATATATATATATACACATACATATATATATATACACATACACACACACATATATATATATAGATATATATATATATATGTTTGTATGTTTGTTTTTTTGGCACTCGCTTAGGTCAGGCGAGGTTCAGGGCGGTAACAGGAACTATCGAGGCTCATCTTGAGCCCGCCAGATCATCTCGAGCGACGGGAGCCGAACGTTTGACGTGACGCTCGGCTCCACTGTTATGAATAATATATATATATATATA